TGCTAAGAAGCAATCTGCAACTGGGATGTGTGGCTTTTCCCAGCTTTCTCTCTGTGTCCATGTAATAATGGGACAGATCCACTGCTCTTAGTACAGAACCAGCACTTGTCTCTTATAAAGAGGATCCCTCTAGAGAATATAATACTTCAGGCATGGTAAACCGTGAGGATACACTACAAGTTTAGAGATATTCATAAAAGAGGAAGTACACAGCATTCCTTGGTACCAAAATGGATCTCATCCCTCTTACAACATGGGTGATACAATTAGCAGGATACTAAACCTTCAGATAATAACCTTCAGATAATAACCTTTAGATATCTCATCCAGCCCTTTAAGGAGAAGCATTTGTTGCTCAAAACCTTTGTGTCAGAGCATTCATTATGCATGTCAGACCAGCAGAGGACTCAGGGTTTTTAACCTTAAAAGATGCTAATTAATCTACTGTGACTGCAAAGGAAATTTCATTTTCTAGGATTTACTATGCTTAGTACAGGCACTAAAATACCAGGCTCTTTATGGGAATGAAGAGTCTCATTTCAGCTCCATACATTTTGCCAGTGCATCACCATAGTGGCCTTAATGAAACACACCAGCAGCAGAAACAATGCAAATCCCAAATCACTGTTCACAGTTGAGTCATCAGCTATATTACATACATATATATATCCCTGAAAAATGTATATTCATAGCAGAAAATCTCAGCTCAGCACAGGCACCAGTGGCATTTTGATTAAACCTTCTTGTTAAATCCTCTTGGCTAAAACAATAAAAACTGGTTGAAATTGTGAGGCATGGAAAATAGGCAGAAAAATTGGATGCATAATCCAGAGAAGGAGATCCACCTTGCATTAGATCAAACTGGTGAGTTTATGAAATGATTGCCAGGCTGAAGTGAAAATTAATCTCCCTAGAAGTACTTTTATTTTTCAAATAGTAAACATTGCATTTTAATAACTTTACCTCTTCTCTGACTTATGGTCCTTGAACTGCTATAGGCAGGGACTCTTTAGCCTCGTGTCTGCTTTCCCTTAGCCATGTCTTGTGGTTTGAAACTATAACCTGGTGTATTAAACGTTGAGTAGAGGTTTAGGGCTTAGGGCTTAGAACAGCTCTTAGGGCTGCTGTTCTCCAAGTCCTACTAAATCATTACTTCTCTGCTCTGTTAGGCTGTTACAGATGAATTACTGTTCCCAACATGGCTGTTCTGCCACTTAATGCATTATCTGCCCTCCCTCAGCCAGCTTCAAATCTCTTTGCCACCTATGTGCTAGAGGCTAGAAGAGGAGAAAAAGACAAGGAAGAACTCACATGCCAGCAGTAGTACCACATACTAAAACAGGGAAGTGTTGCTCCAAACAATGGGCTGGAATAATCACTGTGGAGGGACAGACTGTTCTGCAGACTTTGGTGGTGAAGGTCAGTCCCCACTAGGCCTTCCCACACAACATCAGGGCTCACCTCTGCTGTTGTTTGTTGTGGCAGTGGACATTTACTCACACAAGTAACTTCAGTGATGTGGGAATAGGTCTTGGGTACATCTGATTAATCCTGCTGTTAGCTGTGTAAAGCCCTGAGTCCCACGCTGCTGCACAAGGGCTGGATTCTTGTAGCTTGGAAAAGGCTTGGTTTTCATCAGCATGGAAACATTCCTGGTCTAAAAAAAGAGTCCTGAAACAATTCTGATTAATAAAACACAAAGACCCTGCTAATCAAACACTGAGAAGTCTGCAGCCTTGTGAAAGACTGAGTGAAAACTGGGAGAATACAGGGCGGGATCCTTCCCCTGCCAGCAGGACACTTATGACAGACTCACAAGGCACAGTTTAAAGTGCTAAGTAATGCTCAATTACGTAAATCCAGTTGATCTGCAAATGTGGAATTGAGTGCTGTCAGCCTTCACTTACTTGTCTGGCACTGAGTTATATTTTTACATATATTTGGCTTACAGATATAAAAGCAATGGAGTTTAAAAGAGGGCTTGACTCTGTTTTGCAAGCTGGAGACACACTCAGAGCAATGACAACACAGCCTGTAGAAAGATTGTGTTTATCATAATATCTGCCACTTCTGAAGTCAAGTCACAGTCACTCAACAACCCTTAAACTTTTTGCCTCTCTTACAGAAGAATAGCTCAAGGAAAAGGAAAAAAGCAACTGAAGCTTTTAGACTTTCCCCAAACTCTTCCTCACCTGGCCTAGCGATTTCTCAAATCAGCAAAAAAAAGGTTTTCCCAAAATAAAACATAAGCACATTTGCATAGCAATTAGATAACTCTTTCTACTGCTTGTGCACCAAAGTGATCCCAAAACATTAATTAAGGCTCAAAACACTCCAGAAAGGCAGACAGTCCAGAGCGTGTTTTACAAATGGGTCAGCTGAGTCAGATACAGCACAAAGACAGAAAAGAGGACAGCCTGGATCTGCTTTGATCTTGCTGTGACAGCACTGCTTAATGTAACAACATGTGTTTAACATGCCTACAAACAGCATCAACTCCTGCAACAATGCAGAATAACAGCACAGTACTAGTATAACTATTTTAATTATAAAGTGGTACCTATGCAGAAGCTGAGCCAGAAAATATAATCTGCTTTAGCACAGAGCTAACTGCAAAACTAGCTGCTCATTATATGGTAATGGAGCCGATATCTGTCAGAGGAGATGTAAAACCACAAACAACATAGTGATTAGATGACTCTAAACTGTATTTTAAAAGCATGTGATACTAAATCCCAAAACTAGAGGAAAAGATCACTTTCTAGTTGTGGGTAAAAGATGCAGGCATGATTCCAATCATGCTTTAAACTGACAGCCAGAAAACAAAAAAGTATGCAGGACCTACAATATCCAGTATCTATGCATCTTGCCAACAGTTTTATGTTTATTATAAAATCTATGCAGGCAGTATTAGAAATAAATCTTACTGATTAAAAAGAATCTAATCCTTTGCTGCACACCTCCAGTTTTACAGTGATGGATGAATGAGATCCAGTAGGAAAATAATGGTCCTTTCTGCCTCAAAGAGAAAAAAATTAAAAGCAGTAGCAGCAATGTAGGCTCCCATCTCACACTGCATTTCTATTTTGGCTTCTCTCATCTGGGCTACTTCGAGAATTTTCGCCAGTAGGAATTTGTCTATCTCTGGTTCTTTGCTTCCTGCCTGGATTTCAAATTGGGTAGAGCCAGAGGTAAAGACTTCAGTGCCAAGTCACGTGGCTTCACTGATGCACCTCCTCCCTGTTGCTCACTGAGTGCAACTCCTGAGCAGAAGCTGCCAAGGCAAAGACCAAACTTATTCTCACCAGTTACACATGCAGGATGCCTATACACCACCTACCAGAAAAATGCTTCCCTCTGAACACTCACACTGATACTTGCAGACTCTGGTACAGAGTCTGTGTCCCAAGCAGAAATTTAGTGCCTTTCCCACTAACATAAAAAGGGTATTCATTGAATAGATGTAAATGAAAGCAAATGCACTGCCCTAAATACAGGTGAACCACAGGCACAAGTTCTCAAGCCAGCCTCTGCCTGTGTATGCTGCAAACACTACACTGTACTGCTCCCAAGCTTCTGCTGGAGATCAAGGGGAAGGTTTTCACCATGTTAAAGTGATGATGATCTATTAAGAGACACTGGAGTGGTGCCTATTTATGCCAGCTAAGTGTCTGATCCCTGTTTAAATGCCCTCATCTCAGCAAAGTAAGGAAAAGGGAGAAAATAAGAAATAAGGGGAATTGGATTGGCTATTTGGATGGACAAAAAAAAGGTGTTCCTCAGAACCAAAAATTTATGAAGTACCAGTTTCAGCCTTTAGCTCTCCCATGGCAATTATGGGCTAAAGATAGCTGAGGGGAGGAGAAGGGAAAGAGAGCTTAAAATTGGGATGTTTTGAGATCTTCCTCTATGGAACAAACTGAAAGCATACTGCAGCTCCTGCAAGGTTTTTATCTGCACACATCAGCCAAGGAGCCACAGAGCTGAAGGGTTCATTCTCACTCTGCTGTGGATCTGGTCTCATCCTGCTTTCAGTGGCACCAGGGCAAACAAAGGGGGCTCCAGGGATGACACTTAAAGGATCAGAGTCAACCAAACATACTGGAGCCCCTAAAACTGGATTTCAACCTGCTGTAAAATAATCAGTCAGAGCATCTGAAAGCTTCAAGTGTTTAACATTCAGGGCATGTGAGTGCACAGTGAGTGCAACTTCCATGTTGAGTGTGTGGTATAATAAAACTTCAGGTCCTGTCTGCTCCTGTTCATTGCTTTTCTTGCTCCATCTTTATGACTGCATAAATCATAATTATTTTGCAAACTCACTGAATACTGAACTGATGCAAGATACAGAGTTCTCCACGTACAGATGCGTGCTTGCCAAAAGGCTGTGACTAACATCACAGCAGAGGCTGCCCACTGGTGCTACACAATTGTGCTCACTTTTTCGTAGGTTAACTTCATTACAGAAGTAGACTAGCAAGAGTAACACTCTATATTTTAAATACAGAATCCCAGTTCTGCAATGTATAATAAAATCTTTAACATGGAGTATTTTCACCCCAAAGCCTTAAGATTTGTATACCAACAAAAGCAAGAGTCTTTGTAATACACTATGTTTTGCCATTTGGATTAACCTGGGGTATCTTTTACTGATCCAGCTTCAGAGGACTGAAGTGGAAGAAGTTCAAACATTCCACAGATTCTTCTTCCATCAGCTTATAATGCAATTGTGTCTTTCCCCAGCTTCTGTACTTTTTAATTAACAGAAACAAATCCAAAGAATCCCTCCCACCACAAATATTGTGTGAGCGTATTTGAGTAAAAGCAATGATTATTTGTTGGTATACTGCTGCATCCATCAGTCTTAAATAATCATAAATAAAAACATTTGTGCTATTCTTTGGTACATTTCTGTCTGTTTAAACCACAGCTGAACTTTTATGTTGTACAAACAAAAAATTGCACTTTTATCTTCTAGAGAGTCTTGCTCCAAGAGATTTTCAGCTGAAGGATTCTTTATTGTACTCAAACCTTGTCCCATAAGAGTTGCTGCTGTTGCTCAGTTTATGAAGTATCTTAGAGATTTTGTTTGGTCCACAGCAGAAAACTCCAATGGTCTTCCTGTTTAAAAAAAAAAAAAGAGGGAAGGGAAAGTTATGACATTGTGAATAAACAGTAATTTCCAATAAGAGACAGAAGTGGACCCTGGCCTCATGGTGTTATACATAAGCCACCTACATACAGATTTTAAGGGGAGAACAGTTCACTAGATGATGCAGTTAATTTTACTGAAGCCACCACATCTCTCCTAAGTATCCCTACAACAAGCCTTATTATTTATCTGACTAAGACAACTCTAAGGAAGAAGTGCTTCATCTTAGTCTTAAGATACCAAATGATAAAATATTACTATTTTTCACTCTATTTTTTCCCCATGATTAATCACTTTTTTTGTTAAAAATATGTCTCACTGTAAAGACTTCCTTAGTGTAACTCATGAATTACACAAGCATATCTAATCACTAACAGTGATTTGTTACACTAATGAAAACAGAGCACTACTAACCCATGATTATTTCTGGCAGCAACAGAATAATTTTACTGCTTTACTTTCACATTAGCATGTAGTTTTTCCTTCAGCATCTATATTGGAAATCTTACAAGAAGTCAAACACAGAGTATGATCCTTGCTCATCACCCATAGATCTTGGCCCTTTCGTCAACCTGACTTTTTCACGCCTTTCTACTGACAACAGCTCTTTGCTCTCTGGTCACCTTAAAAATAGGCTGCAAGTCAGACTTACAGTCATACAACATTTCAGGGCTCAGAACTTTAGCCAACATCAGAACAAAACACAGCAGGACTGAGCCATTCACAATATTCACTATCTCCCTTTTTTTTTAAGATGAGGAGAGGGAAAGAAAGCAGGGAAATACAATACAGTGCTGCATTTTCTGTATCATAAAAAAAAAAAATCATCTTCTTCCTGCTGAAATTGTGCCACTACAGAAAAAGATCTAAAAGATTTACTAGGATGAAGAAAAAGCATACAAGAGGGAACATGGCTCTAACTATTGTGATCTACAGCACTCACCAAGAGGATGGAGATTTGGGTTCTGGGTTCTGCCTCCAGGGCTGTTTTGATATTTTATGCAATAACTATTTAATATACAATATTTTAGCATATGCTAAATAATCAAATTCAGTTTAAAGCTCCCTGCGCATGTGTTTGATGAGAGGAGGGAACTGATTTAAGAATAAATCTTTGGTGCATACTGCTATGTGTACATGTCAGGTGGCAGGCAGCTGCCAGAGTAGCATGGCAGTGCATGTTGCATCAATGCACAGCAACACTGGCATGGTACAGCTGAGCACTCAAACATCAAAAATGACCCAAAATTTATGCAGGTAACTGCAGTGGTGTCCTTGTGCAGGCACCTTGTAACACAGATTGCAATTGCCTTCAATGACTTCATCTCTCATATCAATCAGGCAAAGTCATAATTCAGACTTTTCTCACCCTTATGTTTATCTATTAAGCTTTCCTGTTCTGGCAGTACTCCTTTTAATGGCAATGGGTGCTGTGCTGGTGGCTGAATTTGCTGCAATAATGAGAAGGCTGCTGCTTGTTGCTCTCAAATAAGAATCCTCAGCACTTGCAGATTCTGAAATCTCTCTAATCTGTGCACACTGGAGAAAAAGGATTCATGAGCTGCCAGCAAGACTCTGGCTTCTACTGTGTATTTAATTGAAAGAATGAATGTTGTTGGCTTTGGGATTTTTTGTTTGCTTGTTTTTCTTTTTCTTTAGGTGAATTAGTACAGTGAACTGATAAAATAAACCCCAAAGAGTTCAGCTGCCCCTCTCCTTTTCATTAGGTATAAACAGCTAACAAAGTGAATACATAGTGCCAATGTATTCTCATCCCAGTAACATTCTTCCAAGGTATACAGATTTTTTTGCTAGTGATTAGAATCACAGGAAGGTTAAATTATTTGCCTGAAGTCACACAAGAGACCCATGTCTAAGGTCTCCTGAAACCCAGCTGAGTCACTGTTCTGTGCAGTGAGCCACAGGCTCTCAGATTGCCTTCCTGGGATACCCACCACCAGCATCCAGTCTGGACACCCCTTCACACACCATTCACCTTCCTCCCCTGTGTCCATCCCTGCCTGCAGATGCCTCTGCCCCTCCTCCCCCAGATCCTGCCTGGCTGCTGGAACACAAACAGAAAGGTGGCTGAGGAAAGCTACCACATAGAACAGCATATTACTACCCTGACTGTTTATCTATCATTTGTTTGGGACAAAGGCTCACTTTGTGTCTTAGATGAACACAGGCAACTGTATAGTCCTATGTCTGAAAATCTTCATTAATGCCATTAACATGTTTACAGTTAAGTAAACTATGTTATAGGCCATTCTTTGTAATGATTATAAACTTCAACATAGAATTTACTCCTTCAGAGCACTAAGCAAGTAATTCCTCAGTGTTCCTATGGGATGAGTAGGTCAGCACATATTCTTACATCCATTTTATGAACAGCAGGAGTTGAGAGAGAGATTAAATATTTTGCTACATTGAGAGGATAGAGTCAGGACTTGAAATGTTCCTCTTTTAAATCTCACATTTGTTCCTAGAGAGAGGTTTCTCCTTTAGAACAGATGAGAAATGTATCATGATGCTCCATGCTTTTTTCTCCTACAGGTATTCATGTCTTTTTCTAGGTCATTCTCTACCTGGAAAAAAGCACATGCCCTTTTGACCTAAGCAAACTGAGCATGGTGCAAGCTTTTTATCCAGGACACAACTGAACAGGAACAACAATGTTCCATTCCCCCACAAAAAGCACGAAAAAACAAGACCAGTAATTTATTATGTAACTGTTCCAGTTCAGATCGCTGGGTCTGCAGGTGTCATATGAAATACGAACAGTAGATGGCATACATCCGCTCCTCTTTTCCCGAAAATCAAAAAGGAGCAGGAACCTGATGCTGGGCTGTCCCATGTCACGCTCTGAAGGTCTGGCAAAGCTCAGACACTTACAAATGCACTTTGCTTATTTGGGACCCATACAGCAACAACAGCAACAATTCACAAAGCACACGGCAATCAGAACGGCTACACAGAGAGACAGAAAGCTTTGCCAGCTGCCTGTTTATTTATATGCAGCTTTTCCTAAAATCATAAGATAAAAACTGGAAAATATCTTGGCTGCCCATAAACAAGCCCAAGGGGATGATTGCAAATGTGAAAGTCTGAACACTGGCACCAGATGTTGCAAACAACTTGACTGACCTGTTTTGCTTTAGTTTGGTTTTTTTGGTCTCTGTATAGCAGCAGGGACATTTAGGTGGAAAGTTACAGAGAAATAAGAATTGAAATAAAGGTAGTAGCAGACCTGGAAATTGGACTAGAGGGAAAAACTAAAGTTCCCATCTCATTCAAGGAAATACAGAGAATAATTAGCTACAAAAGGTAAATTTCTGCCAGACAGTTGAGGTTGTCAAAGGCTTCGCTACTGTGCACCATTACCAGTAACTACATCTATAGGTACAGACCTATACAAACCTTGATAAAGAGATGACAAAGAGGGACAAAGCCTACATCTTAGCAAGATAATCAAAAGATAACATTATTTTTGTATTAAAGATACCTTGCTTGAAAATGGCAGCCCAATTTAAAGACCTGATGTGAAAATGCAGAGGAAATGGTACTTGAAGTCTAATTAGGAGTAATGCAATGGAAAGCAAAAAAGAAAAATCAAGTATGATTATTACTACTACTACTACTAATGGCTTCATCAATATTATGTGCTCTTACATCCTCAGAGGGAAGTGGCAGGAACCTCATAATTTTCACCTTTTAAAACTGTACTCACATAGTTAAACAAAGACATTAGAATGGAGCATAAAAGGTCAACAGCCCACTATGCAGAGATCTTTTGGCCCAGTCAGCTTGGCCCTCTGAACTCTCTATTTCCTTTTCTTTCCCATGGTTCTTTGCTCTAAACCCCTTCTCTAAGTGTGAAAATTTTACTAGAGATGTAGCAGCCTATGGGGTGTCCTGCTCACAATATCCTCTATGACCTGAATCCAACACAAGTATTGTCAGCAGCTCACACTGCCCACAGTGATACATTTGGCACTCAGTATTTCTCAAGAGCCAGGGCTCAGTGTCCCCTAGTCATATCTAGCCTCGGAAGAGAAGAGTCAACAAGACATGGGTAGATTTCACTTTGCAAGTGCAGGAGAGGACAAAAATTTCTTGAGGGAAAGTTCTGCAGAGCACCTCTCCAACCCAATGCATCCAGATTACTGTCAATAGCTACTCAGGGGGGTTTTCTCATACACCATTGACTTTGCCAGAAGTGGATTAGGGAAGATTCACACAGTCCCTTCTTCCAGATCAGCTTTTGAGGCAATGAACTGCCAGCAGCAGGAAAAATATTCAACCACCAAAGTTGGATCTGGACAAAAACATTCTATATGCATGCCTTCTCTGGTTTACACTTGTCTTTCAGACCATAATATGCTTTCCCAGCACAATAAAAAGGCATTGCCAGGTTTTAACAGAGAATAAAAAATAGCCAGAAATACCCAAAGACAATAAATCTTCTGAATAAAAACAAAACAGGTAATTCAAATTCTTCCTTGCGAATTCTGTTTGTATACTAGCATTACAAATCACAAATCAACAATTTTAAGAAATGTAACTTCATATAAAGAACCAGTGTATGTTGAAAGCAAGACATTGCCACGGACAAGAACACATGTAATCTCTGTGCAGTGAGATGGAAATCTGCTGCTTATATTTTCTGAGCCACTGAACATATCAGCTGCATGAGAAGCTGAACTGCTCTGAACATAACAAAAACCACAGTGTTTCAGTTTGTATAGGCTATCTCTCAGCAAGATAAATCCCAGAAATATTTTCATACAAACATAGCTAGAAACAGATATGCCCAGCCATCCAACTGTGGCACCCTTCACGTGGATGAGCACCTACCTCCTATTGCACTTTGCTATGTCATCAAACAGGAGCTTCCACCGGGGTCGTCCAATCAAAAGCCTGGAGTTTAAAGCTTGATATTTTTCACCAATTATTTTCTGCAAGAAACAAAAAATTCCATTCTGCCTGATTTGCAAATTGCCTCATATCACCCAGGGCTCCCATTTCTGCTATTGGCTGACTTGCCAGAGTGCTGAGGTGTAAAACCTGAGCACAAGTATCAAACAGCTGTGATGGGAGCTGCAGCCATTTTATGCACCAATACCTCTGCTTAGTATCTTTTCAATGGCTCTCCTTGGTGTTAGTTACATACATTGTCCCTCATGCAGCTGCTCATTAATTCCTACATTACTTTTAAACCAATTTATTTAATCCATAAAACAATAACCATGCTCCTGTTACTCATTCCCACACTGGCTTTTAATGCTAAACTGGAAGAAATACTGCTGATGCAAAAATCATATTTTTGTCTGAAGTCTTTTTTAAACTTTGTACAAGTAACTATTAAAATGACTAGGTCTGAAAAAGTAACAAGGGAAATCTTACTTTTCTCCCTGAGAGTAGTTTGCCAACTGTTTTGAGCTGCTGCAGCAGCAGAAAGCAGCCAAAACTGCTCCCCAGATGGAACCCACTCCATTCCAGAATGCTAACTCACCAGCATTTTGATAAGGTGAAATGCCCTCCCACTGCAGGGCACAACCCTGGGTTTGCTGTCCTAACACAGCAGCAAGAGGCAGAGAGCTACACATTATCTAGGCTCCCACGTTCCCTGCCTTGCTGAACAACCCAAAACACTGCTCACACCAATGCAAACACAGTCCTGGCCAACTCAGCTTCCTTTGGGCTTTTGTAGACAAGAGGCACTTGCTGCAGGGTGAGCTCTTACCACACAGGCACAAGGGCTTCTCACAAAGGCAGCAAGAAGTGTAACTGCCTGAATTTTGGCAGCAGTCAGCACTTTGGACTAACATCAGTGAACACACAACCTGTATGGCCATGGAGACTTCTCCTTGAGCAATTACGAGCAGCACTATGCTTCATGGCAGTTTTGTTCAACGGCCACAAAAAAGTGACTGTAAAGTAGGACTTCTTCAATCAAAAAGCTGACTTAAAATAAATTCAGCATCTGCTTAATTAGCATCACTATGAAGTATTTGTATACTACATAGTATCAGAAAACTTCCTTTGAATTGACTATTATTTCACTTTCCCTATCACATTGCATTGCAGTCCAGCTTCAGGTTTTAATTTTAACCTAAAAATTACATAGCAGGTTCATCAATTAGGCATTTTCAAGCATTCCATTTCCATCAACATATGCTGTCCAGGCATTGCATTTGTCATAGTCATAACTAATGTAGCTACCACATAATTTAAATTACAAGATTGTGTTCCTCCCAGAGCAGTAAATGTTATGCTATCTCCACCTGATAGCAGGCAGATCAAAATCCTTTGGGCATGGTTTTTCACTGCATTTCATGTTTTCCAGTGATTGTTAGGCTTGGCTCTGGGCCCCCTGTAGTCAATGGAAAGCTTCCTGATGCGGCACAGTTAAGACTTGTACCTAGGCTTATGTGCTACATAATGTAAAATGAAGATTGCAAGCATAAATAGTTACAGGAGACGCCAAGAGTTGGGGAATTAGCCTGGCGTTAGCATTGGCAATACATGTCAGCTGACAGTTCCATATAATTTCCAGTCTTACACATCAAGAAATTTCTACCTCTCATCTATATATGAGATAATGAAATAAAAAGTTTTTAAAAATAGCTAGATTCTTTCAAAACATATATGGGAAAAGAAGATTTGAGCTTGCAAGTTCCTAGAACTATTCTGGTTTGGTTCTTAGCCCAGAAACGATGCAGATTTCCCATCGAACACGGCCAACTGTCTGGTCTGTGGCCTGGCCTGGAAGGACCTTGTTCCTAGAAAAGGGAGATATGGATTTCTGCCTGCACCTAATCAAGTTAAGGGTACTGCACTAGACTCTCTTAATGCTGTGGGGATGAACTGGCTGTCTTGCTCTATTAATCAATCAGTCACCCGACTTTATGGCCTCATCTCCTGTTTTTACCATCTGCAGTAATCCCCTTCTGCCTTTGACTGACAGTTTGCATTGCCTATTACTCCAAGGTCTAGTTTGGTTTACAAACAACATTTGGCCACGTACCTGTATTCCATCTGTTTGACTGAGGTACAGCTGGATATTTATATAGTCTGGCCGATTCTCCTGCCAAAGCTGGAGGATGATAAAAAAGCTAGTGAAATAATATTCTTTTTCTTAATGCAAGCGTGAAGTCACTTGTGCCTACTATGCTGAGGTACATGGGTTTCAGCATCAATGAAGTAAGCTTTTCACTGAAGAGGATGTGCTGTATAGCACATCATGCTGTGTAAAAAATATTATTTTAGGAAGCCACATGGCTCTTAAAATATACTTGAAATTATAAATCCCACTCCCTTTTCAATCTGCCTACTAGCAGAATGACTAAAGGCCACTCAAGGCTTCCCAGACTGCATGTGCTTCTTCTTCCTTCTCATGAAGTAGTCTGGACACAGGTAAGTGTCCAGGCTACTGGAACATGGCAACACTGCAATGAAACATTGGTGATGGATACTCAAACTGGTTTTGATCCAAGAACAAATGAAGCCTGGATCAGGCAGCCCAAGCTACTACTGGAGCTCACTCGTTTTGAGAAAGGCTGCCATCCTCTACAGAATGCCAGGTGTGTGGTGTGGGCATACCTTGCATTTAAGTTGTCAGGACCCCTCCAAGCAACACCCATTACCTTGTTATGCAACATACAGAGCAGATCTGCAAACCAGCGGAAAGACTCAATGTCCCGGCACACCCAAATGAAGTAGAGTCTTCTGAGCTTGTAGCATTTCCAGCCATCACTTGAAAATAAAATGTGTGGGTAGTTAAAAATTATAATTTAAAAAGGAAACATTAATGAGGATGCTTTATATTTATTAATGGAAACATGAATTTCCTTTAGAAGCTAACTGCTAAGTTGCTCTTCAAGCTGTGACACATCAGACGCTGAATTGACCAACACAGCCTATTCAGATTATCCTGAGAATATTAAATATCTAGCACAGAGCTAGCAGCCATCACAGACACTGCTTCCACACTAGGAAATTGTCAGTTATACAGATGATTTGAGCAGCAAATATGGATTCATATATCATCATCAAACTTTTATTTTAAAGCAAAGGAGACATTCTAAGTTCAAGTGTATTATGTCAACGCTTTATTAGGTTTATAAAGAGGCCCATAAGTGGAAAATATTGACAAATGTAATCATGTCAGGTCTTAATTCTGCCTTTCTATGTGAAAGGCTTTGGTTGATTATAATTAATACTGTAGCAAAATCACAAAGACCAAATGAAATCAGAGCTCCATTGTGTTAGGGAACTGTGTGATACATTACAGACCTCAGAAAATGCTGGTGGATAAAGTGCAGCCGTGGGCAGATTCTGGCATTGCATTTAGAAAAACAGAACTCTCGTGCAGATTTCTAATTCAATTAAAACACAAATAAGTACAAGGGAAGGGTTTGAAATAACTAGGAAAGAAAATAGAAATAAAAATATCCTGATGAAGAATGAGTTCAAATAAAGCACAAGTATTCGGGAAACATTTTCTTAGTTAGCCAACAGTGGTTTTTGTTGTTCTAATCACTGAAATGGTCAGTGCACAGTTTCCTCCTTTTCCTCCTAGAATGATTTTCAGATAGAGAATGCCATAGCCTGTTCACTTAAAACTAAAATTGAAATGCCAATCCTAGGAGCCAGGCCTGGTCAAAAAGTTTCATGATACATCTCACCATACCCACTGTCCTTTATTCCAAACTGTAGAGTTGCTGGCATATCCAGCCAGGATATAGATACAGATCTATATAAGTGATGGCTCCAACCAGTATCCTGCCTCCCCATACCTCTGCCCTGAGGAGCAAGGATGAGCACCTCAGCAGCACATAGAACTGAGAACTCACCTTTCATGTAAACTCCTCAGAGAGAGTAAAAAAAGTGCATTCAGACCGGGGAGTACAGTGTCTTTAAAGTCCTGATTTCCAATTTTTTATTTGTTAACTGCTGACTTTCCAAACACTATTTCCTCCATCTCTTTCTGACTGCCTAGACTAAGACAAGCACTTAGGAAGGGTCACAATGTGGTCAGATATGACAAGAGAACTGTAAGCAGTAGCAAGGAAAAAAAGTGCTTTTCACTAAAAAAGGGATAAAAGAGAAAAATGAAAGGCATTTTGTATTGAAATGCCCCAGTTCAGTAACAAAACACCACTCTAGGTGATGAAACACTGCATCCAGACAAAGAGGCTGGACTGCAAGAATTCATCAAACAAGTCCAGCATAGATTTAAAATAGCACTCCAGACACATATGCCTGGGTCTACCTCCAGCAGGATATATTGTGCAGGAGAGGTGCAATCCCCCATTACAACCCCCATTTCTTGTGTTTCTGTGTTACACTGCCCATAACAGCCATTATTTACAGACTCGTGCATAAAAGCCTCTAGCTTTCAATAAAGTACATCATAACTTAAAATAGGGCACAGGGTTCAACAGCTAAGTGGAGGGAAGGGCAGGGGCATGAATCAAATTATGTACATACAACAGGAAAACAATGGAGCAGGAAACAAGATTTCAAGGACAGGCTTTGGATCTCTCCTAGACCTGAGTGTCCTTGACACAACAGGACTGGCCTGGCTGCTCTACAGAGCTGGCACCATCAGGCATTTTGCATCTTCGTACCTGCCAATATCTGCTTCCAAGCCAGGGCAAAGACACCCACAGATCAGCCACTAAACCAGTGTCTTGTTGATGCTTAAATACTGAGGAGGGAAACAGACTATGACTGTTACTTTTCCCCAGAATGATTCCCTTGTATATTGTACAGTGCACAAGGGAAGAGCAGCTAAAAAGGCAGGTTATGGAATTAGCTCCTTGGAAGTCAATTTATGGCTTTATGCAGATAAATGGATGTTGCAAAATCCTTTGGACACTACCATTTTCTTGGAGTGTCTGTGAGAATTCCTACAGCCTCAGATAACACACATTAGAGGCAAACATCTAATTACCTGCTGCTGGCCCATCTTTGTGTTCCATGACATTTTTGCTAAACAGTATCAGGGATAATCCATCACAAGGAAAATAGTCATTTTATCCACCTGAGCCCCAGGCTTTCAGCAAAAATGCACCCTGGTTTTGAGAAGGTGTTCTGTATGCTCTCAAGAAAAGAAAATGAGGGATCCCAAGATGGTCTTTGGGGGCTGCAGCCCCATGAGACACACAAGGCTAATAACTTTCAGTAGCACTTGGCACTGTCGGTCCAGCCCAGGCTAAGGACAGAAGAATGTGTACAGCACCTAAATTCCACACTTCAGCTTCCCTTTGGAGTTAGAGCCGACCATGGTGTGTTCATCTTGCAAGAAATGCTTTAACTGTGCATTGTAAAGCCCTCCCAAAGCCTGATGGCATCTCAGGGAAGGTTTGCTGCTTTGGCTGGCTGTTTATACTGGGCATTTGATACACTCACTTAACCTGTGACTGGAGCCCTTAACCAATAAATCTAGCAAATATAAATAAAATCAATAGCAATCATAAAAGGAAGCCTATTTCACATAGCATAAGATTTAGTGGGAACCATGTTGTCAATGTGACAGAAAAACAAGAGGTGGAAGGTTTAATCTGCATAGAATATCAAAGGCTTTACATTAAAATGAAATTTAAAAATAGAGACAGGAACAGGAAAGGAAAAATAGAAAAATGCATGCCTAAAATTTAAACTTTTCAAATGGAGTTAAACATCTGCATACTACCTGAATTCAGATTGATCCCCTTATATTAAAACCTCAAGCTTAGACATTTAAAAAGTCAAACCAGGAGAGTTGGTCCTGCATTTCCAGCAGAAGGATTGTCACAATTTTCTGACTCCCAAAGACTGTTACAGTACAGCCTCATCTAAGCTGGGCCTGGGGGAACAAGTCCTGCTGAAAGGCTGAGACTAGATTAATCACAAGCTTGATTGGTGGCAGGATACAGAGGCTGGTGACATTGTCCCAATTCAGGTGCATGCCTGCCACAACATTTTGGGTTACAGAGCTGGTATGAGAGGATTTATGCCATTTAGGGACATCTCAGTCCTCTACATCTTTTCAAGGAATCATTCACTTATGCCAGTGGAAGTTTTTTAAGACACTCAAAGCCTTTCTGTCATTCATTGTTGCTGTATACTGGGACAAAATGGCTTTAAAGGCTTAAGCTCACTTACAGCAGTGTGTTGAGCACAGATGCAAATGGTGTAACCCCAATACCTCCAGCCACACAGAGGCTGACCTCGTAGTTCAGGGATTCCTCAAAGGGACTTCCAAAAGGTCCATCCACATACAGTCTGCATAAAGAGAAAAAGCACACTTTTAGAGGAAGCTGTTAAGACCAGACAAAGGTAAAGAAAAACAAGCTGGAATTAAAACCCTGCAAAGAATTTGTTTAAAAATTCTTATTAGTTTTCAGATGCAGAACGTAAAAGTCGTTTTCCTGGAAAACTTTATGTGGGCAGAAATGAATGTACAGGTGGTAAGAAAAACTGTTACCTAAAATCTTTCGGCATGTTCCATGATTAGACAAGCTCTTTTTTAATTGAACAAGTGGAGGTGACTAAATTATGGCTTCCTATTTTGTCTAGTGTTAGAGGGCAAAGAAATGGCACTAGAAACAATGACTTGGAGGGTCATACATAAGAAATAAAGCAGTTTGGCTAGGCCTGCCTAGGAGGTTCATCTTATACACATTTTCTGAAGGGGAAGAAAAACTGCTGAGTTTTTCCCCTTTGACTCATGCCTATCATTACTATAACCACTCTGTCCACTTGATTTAAAAGATTATTTAGGAGATTGTGTCTCATTTCCAACCCATTTTTAACACTTCAGAGAGTACTGGATAGTACATTGACTATAATTTAAAGGTCAGCTTTAGGTATTTTCAAAAGTTTGACCTCCTACAAGATCTTTCCTACAGTGCTGACAATCTGAGCAAGGTCACCCATAGACAGCTCAAAATTTATGGGCTGTAAGATTTCATACACTCTATTCTACCACTCTATTCATTTTCTATGGAAAACCAACTGCATATCTTACCTCAGTAACAGATTCATCTTTAGAAACTGCTGCAAAGAGAACTCGAACAGGACATTTACTCAAGGCCTGTTCTATGTATGACTGACTCACTGGATCAGCACATTTTATTGAGGTAACTGCTGAACACAGCCAAGTGTGGTGGGACCAGCTCTGTGTGCAGCAGCTCAGGGAACAGTACTTGCCCACAGGTCTGCTGACCAAGAGCAAGCTTTGGCCTGAGTCCACTAAGGAGCTCCAACACACATCAGTTTCATGCACACACACTGGTACTTATTGCACAACCAAGCTGCACATACTCCACGTCTAATGAAAGGGCCTAAGAGTCTCCTTTATAACAACAGCCAGGGAATTAAAGGCAGAGAAGACATCTCCTTTCCCAGAAAAAGCCTTCTAAACCTCATCTGATTAATTCCTTTGGAGGGCTGGATTTTAGCCATAACTTAAGTTCTCAGTCTGATTTAATTTCTTTTAGGTTTGTGGTATGACCCTTGGCATCATCTTACCAGTCAAGACACTATCTTGTCTGGGTGTCTTTGGCCAATATGGTCCTTTTTAGGAATTTTTTCCAGCCCTTTGCTATTGTTGCTTGATATGCCTCATATGTTAGGCTCCTTCTTCTGGATGCCTTAATTGAACACAGATAACTACAAACTTTCTGATGGATCTGAAGGCTGATTTTTAACTGTGTCCTGTCTCACAAACTCCATACTTGGTGTCCTACCTGGAGAGAAAGGGAGAAGACACTGGACTGGCCCAGCCAAAGACATCAGAAGGCATTGGAAATATTTTTAAGCAATCAAATTTTAAACCTAAACCATCTTCAACCTAAACATGCTTACTCTTATTTCTGCATTTATAATCTCTATAGTATTCTACGTTCTCTTGGAGAATCTCAGAGTTTTGCAATGTCAAATATATTAGTTCCAGCATGATGGGAATATTAGAAAAACAAATTCACTCCTTACTTAGGACAGACATATTGTTTTATACAATACAGCCAAGAAAAACTTAACTGGTCATGCGCATACAAAGTAAACAGAACTTTAAGTATCTGCTCATTAAATGTTTCCTCTTACATAACACTTTATACCACATTACTTAACCAGGCTTTATTTTCCACTAATGAAATGATACCACTGCTGGGGCAGAGTGCAGCAGCAGCTGCTTTAAGAGATCTAAAAGCTGCACTGTTTGATGGAGGAGGTAAAGGAGCAGCTCTTATTTAAATAAGCAACAGGGGAAATGCTGAGAAGCAGGTTGTAACACTGAAATAATCTAGTCCAAGGGATATTCTGAAAGAAGTCCACAAATGTTACGGATCTCAGATGTATATGTAACAGATGTAACAGAGATCTAATTTTGGGATGTTGGAGTATGTCAAAAACAAACAAACAAACAAACAAACAAACACCCCAAAATAACTGGATAACAATGACCAGCAACCCTGTCATTCCTGGCCTACTTCATATACATGTTACCCTAATCAGCCCCACCTAGCTGGTGAAATCTAGAGAATTGCTCCTAAAGGTATGAAGGGCAAAAGCACAGGCCTGAGGGAAATTCCTTACATTCTGGACAAGCAGCATTAACTTTCCTTTGGATACACAAACCTAAAGCCAACATTTTGAATTAAAAACACAACCTAATGAAACAAAAACAATCAGAGCACATTTTTCCAGAAATTACCCCAGTGGATGTGACAACAGTTATTTATTGTAGGAGTGCCACTTAACGTAACTGCACTACCTGGGGACTACCTGGATGTATGTATGTATGTATGTCTGATCTCAGAGGGATTAAGAAATTCCTGGAAAGTCTGAGTGCCTCTGAATAATACTGACATGATCAGAAGTGGAAAAATGCAAAACTAGATCTGGTCACCAGAAACCAGTCAAGCACAGTGCCTGCCAAAAATTCAAGAAACAACCTGCAATTAAATATGCATTTTGGTCAGAATGCTCCAGTTTGTGGTCCATTAGCCCCATCTGGCCTGCAAAATATTTCTATTTGCCCACTGTGTCTTCCTCTGAGGGAGTGAGGAGCAGTTGCTTGGACAGCAGATGCAGTCAGAGAAGCCAAGGGCCTCCTGCTGTGTCTGCATGTGGTCCAGCACACAGCAGCCAGAAGTCACTGCTTCCAAGTGCGAAAAAGAGAAATGGGGGAAAACCTGGAGAAAAATTGCTACTGTGTTAACCCACTCCACCACTCAGAGTGCCTGAAAAGACTGATTCCAAGCATAACATGATCTCCCTAGAAGATTTTGTTGGAGGTCATAAACATGCACTATTTAATCCCATTTTACTATGGGGATAATTTATAACTGAGACAAATGTGGCCCTGATGCCTTAATGGCAGTGGTCATTTATCTTTTTCTTATTCAGGCCAGTGAAAGCAAGAAACTTCCTGATCCCCTATCAAATGGCACAGGGTTGAACAGAGCAGTGATTCAGTCATAGATTTCTGCAGAGATTATGCAATTTTTGTTTCCTGTCAACATGTTCCTCCTTTCATTTGGTAGGACAGAAAACTTTTGCATAAATGCAGTTCATTATTGAAAATAAAATATCACAGTGCTCAATAAAAAGACAAGGGGGGTAAGATGACTTTTTACTTCTTGAGCTGTGGCCCAGATATATCACACTACCATGCTACGCTCTCATATCCTCCCAGCTTTTATTTAATTAACATGAAGGAAGGGAATGGAACTTTACTAGAAGTTTAGAAATTGCCCCTTCAGGCAAACTTATTCAAATAACAAGTTGTTCTTTTCACATATATTTACTTCCAGTCTTAGGAGTGCTCTTGCTTATTACTGGCACAATTTTTTTAGCTCAGATAAAGAAAAAAAAGCTTTTCAAAATAGAATACATCAGAAAAAATAGCAGAGCACATTATTAAAAAGCATCTAACAGATATTTTCTATTTAAAGCACAGTTTCATTCTACAGTGCAGTGGTACAAAAATAGCCCAACAAGCACTAAACCAGCTTGGTTTAGTGCTGGGCAATGCTACTGCACTAACATGGGGCTGCCCTTAAACTGTCTCAGGGACACAGGCAGCTGTACTGCTTTTGAGATCCAAGTCATTATTTTCCATAAGTGAATGTGTGGAGATACCTGCTCACACCTCTTGGACTTGGCTCTCAGAGCCATGCTTTACTTCAAGTTGTAGGAGCCCTTAGAAAAGATAATGCTTTGATTGTATTTCACAACCCAACAGTAAATGATGTTATCACTTTTTTTTACTAGGCTCTCTGGGAGTTACTGTAAGACATTATCTGGGATATTAGTGCAATAACAGATGGATAGGGGAGTTAAAAAAAGAGCTCATAGGAAATTTTAATTAAAGCAGAATCATCATTTGCAAGCTGAACAAAATGCTTGGATACAAAGTACTGCATAGAGCACAAAAAGTGAAATCCTAATCTGACTGAGGTTTCAGGCAAAGCTCTTACCAATGTCAGCTGAAGAAGGATTTAAAGCAGCAGCATGAGATTTTATGTCCTTGATATTCAGTTCTTACTAAGGTATCTTTGTGTGAGCACACTAAGTTCTGGATACAGTCATAAGACACAGTCAATAAAGCTAATGGAGCTGAATTCCTGATTCCTTAGGAAAACATCACTGACATTCTCCAAAATCAACTAAACAACTCTTCTCACATGCTTGTTCTTCTCTTTTACTTGTCCTACCAAAATCACATCTCAGTACTGATGGATTCAGCCTGAGAACTCTAAGGAACCAACTGTCTGATGGCTGAAGCAGTTTCCTTATGTTCTTCTGCTGCTCTAGCTCTGCTGCACCAGAGAGATGCAATAATCTCTCTCTGATAACCCACACTATCAGCTTCCACCCCCACATGACAAATATTCAAACAAGTGCCTCCATGTTCCTCCCACACTTTCCTTCATGCCTAGGAGGGAATCACAGTAAACATCTGCAGAGCTATCTCATTATCTCCCTTCAAATTCCTTCTTAAGACTCCTCTTTTCTCTGATATCTAAAAAACCAGGCTCCTGATGTGCTCCCTGTATCTCAGTCATATTCTGGATCTGTACTGTCCCACTGTTTCCCTGAATCTTGCTGTCTGATTGTATCCATCAGTTGTCTGCTGTTTCTCCAGTTTAAGCTGGTTTGTCTCTCTGCTGTGTGGCTCTGTCTATCACAGTGGCTTCCTGATGCATGACTCCTTCTTCAGGGCACCAGCAGAACAGAGATCAGAGAAGGACTGCTGGAAGTCATCCAAATCTGAAATT